ACTAATCGAACTTCAGGAAACCATCTCGATTTCACTTATCAGTTAAGACACAGTAATTGTTTAATGAAACTTTGTAAATCTTTGTTATCGCTTATGGTTTATTGACATCAAAGATTGAAATTAAGTAGGATACAATTAAAAATGAAGTAGTCTTGAACATTCATTAGACCATGATTAAAAGCAGTCGGCAATAAGTGCTCACAATTCATCAAACATTTTATACACCATATATTTCTTGTTTATTGATAATTGTATTGACACCTTCAAATTCTTAAATCAGTTATCAGTAAACTGTAAATATAATGGTAATCTAACAAAAACCTGTAATAATTAAAACATTAATTAACTCCTCCAAATTTATTTAGCAATTCCTAATAAAGAGATCCACTAGAATGAAAAAATAGTTCAAAACCTAAGAAGGACTTGACACACATGACATTGATCACCATCAAGTGATCAGTCAATTGTGATTACATCTCAGTCCTACAGGAGGTCGGTCACGGCCCGGATAGCCTAGTAGTTTGTCTCTGACTGTGAAGCTGGGTGATACGGGATCGAAACCGTCAAGGAGCACTAGTTCACTCAACATTACAGATACACCTTGCTGACGAGTGCTAAGTAGTAAGAAACCCGGGTCCATGGTTTCCTGTTGTTACCTCCAACCACCATCTTATCTCAACATAGTGGACGCAATGTCGAGTCACCTAGACTAGTGTCTACATTGCAACTTGATAGATAGCATTCGATCTGCACTAAGAAGGACTTGACACACGTGATATTGATCACCACCCAGTGTTCAATCAACTGTGATAGTTCAAAACCATTAAGATTTACATTTCAATAAGTGTTCATTGAACAAGAATCAATATAAAAAGTTGATGCGAATGATTAAAATAGATTCTGATAATTAGGTTTTATTATGATATGATGCTAGATGACCTACAATATACAGATCTTTTAATCATTAACATATGAAATGATATTTGTTCCTGTTTGGTTTTGTGTCAAATATTTTTGTATATAAGAATGTTTATTCAATATATTGAATCACTCACTTTGTTGACCAGTTGATAAATCTTCCGATATCCGATCATTGAGTAGTTCCAGTCAATAATTCGAACTTCGTGAGCAACCATCATTCAAATACATTATGAACACCAACTCAGATGATAGATAACACATTCACACAATCAGTGTGAGAGGTATAACCTTCTGATCTGTAATTATCAAGTCGGACACACACACATTCATCTAAGTCATCCTAATGAGAATGTCCAAAAATCAGTTGTACACCACCATGATTGGTAAACGAATTTCGCATGCTGGTCAGTTCGAAACTGAATTCTACAAATCTATCGCAATATAAATTTATGTTTTCGTTTATTCTTTGTTAACTGATTGAGTTTTGGGTCATTGTAAAACAACCATCCATATACTTTCCACGTTAGTAAACGCAACGTTGGTGAATAAGCGTTTCTCGATTGATTTGGCTCGGATTTGAAACTTGAGTTAAACCATAGTTACTCTTCACAACTGTATAATGTGTATTACATCAATTATTTTCCTATTCATGTGATTAGCTGTATCATGGATATAGAAAAATGAATAATATTGCATGAAACTACTGTTAATCCATCGAACTCTAAGAAACATTCAGTGAACATGAAATGAAAACGTCGTATTTTTTAGCTCAGTTAGTTGGTATTAATTAATTTTAGTGATGCATTATCTTATTTTTGAATGTAATCGAGTTCTATCAAGTAAGTTTATGAAGAAGCCTTGAAGTCATGAATTTTTGTCGTTAATGAAAATTAGTTGCAATTCTTCCTCTTGGTATAAAGCAACTTTTTCCGAGTTTTAGAATTCATATCAATGTGCAAATATCATATATTAACGGAAGAAGCAAAATTTGGTATGAAAATAACAAATAATAGTGAAAATGTAATCCAACTATTTTTGTTTACCCCTGTAAATGATCGAGTTGATTTATTCTAATTTTTCCATTGACTAGACAAACAGATTTCTCACTTATCGTGATCGTATACAGACCTCCTCTGTAAATAGTAACTTACAATGCAATATGGATAAAAATAATAGAAGCAAGAAATCATTCAGACAGTCACATGTACAATATTTTAGCAGTTCTGTTTTTTACTAAATGAGATCGTACAAACATACCATTTCTACTTTGAAAGTATTTTATGATCAGCTTGTTATTAAAAAGTTAGGTGAAATACTGTATATATATAAACCCGTTGTTATCAAGTCTCTTTAATGGTGTATCACAGGGATGTAAGGTAATACCAAACGTCATTATTGAAAAATGCAAGTAAATGCATTTATAGTAGTGACTTGTTTTTAAAGAAAATACCCTGATAGTCAAATTCTTACTATGTTCTAGAGAAATGGGTAACAAGCTCTCCGTTAATAGGCAATGTTAAGTTCAAAACAGTTTCCTAATATTAGATAAAATACAGATAAATATTAAAGTGGATTCTTGAGTCCTTATTTTTTTGTGATTATTATTAATGCTGATTTTTCCAACCGGCCAAAAATTCTCTCGCTTACGATAAATACATCAAAGTCTTCTGGTGACCATGTTAACTCATGAACAATGAAGTTCACGAAATGGTCATTGAATGTCTGCTAAAGAAAGAGAAATAGTCGGGGATGTTATAATTGTTATGAATGTAAACTTGCAACACTTATTTTCTATACTACAGTCAGTGGTTTTAATCGACCTATATCTTCCATAAATTGCGATTATTCACTAGCTTTTCTAAGCCTATCATTGTCTTATATTAGACGATTCAGATACTGACTCTTGTTAGTAATTTGTAACATTGATAAAGCATATCAGAGAGATTCGTGTAGCTCAGAATAATACATTATTCACTGAAAGAAGCTACCTTTATCCATACATAAATATCACGTTTGTAAGATCATAGGCACAACATTCGAAAATTAGTTGAGCAAATCCACTAGTCAGCTTTTGTGTTCTATTTTGTCAATAATTTATTGACGAGTATTTCAGTAATGATAAGGTATTTAATAAAAATAAGTATAAGGTTCAAACATGTTGGGAAAATACCATAGTATTTAGTTTTACTATATTGTCGCTTTTTTGAACAGGTATATTTATCATGTCTCTGTTTTGGTGAAAAACCAGATTATTCTGACAAAAGTTCGAACTAGATCGATCTTTTTAAGATGTTGTGCTACCTTTGTGTCAGTGTTTTTCTCATTTTCCATTTCTCTCAAGACTCTGAAAGTTGGTTGAGTTAATCACACCCAATCCAACCAAGTAGTCTGCATCTACTATCGTGGACTGATGCCATGTTTTGGTTTGACCACATCTAACTTTTCCCCAACCCAATCCTATCCCAGCAAACACATTCAATTATGACCCAAAAACGCAACCAGTGCTTCGAAGACATTTATAATCAGAAACCTGAGGTCCACCAATGTCCTCTACGTTTTAAAACCATGTTTTACAACTATAGAATAAGATAGAGCAAACGAGTGAGCAATATACACATATGCCGCAAGCTATGAAGGTTGACTCATGATAACCGACTTTATCCAGTGAAGTCGTAATGTTATGTTAATCTATATTTTTCTTCTTTTTCTGAATGAAATATGATGGTTTGTGTGGGTTTTGCAAAAAGGTCATGCTACTTCAACTTTATATAAGGTCAAAAAGGTCAAACGTTGAGAACATAATAGGTAGCAGGTATATAAAACGTCACTACTTCACTAATTTGCACGGTGCCACTTGTTATTCAACAATCTATGAGTAATATTGTAAATAGATTTCGAATATAATTGCTAAGTATGTAACAACCGATTAAAGAATAACAATAAGCATGAAGATGCCACAGGTATTCGGAGCTATTTATTTTGGGAATTTATTTACCGCTACAAGTATTTTAAAAACTTCACTCCTTATGTAATACTAATTATTTTCCTATTTCCATGATACAGCTGATCACATGAATAGGAAAATAATTGATGTAATACACATTATACAGTTGTGAAGAGTAACTATGGTTTATCTCAAGTTTCAAATCCGAGCCAAATCAATCGAGAAACGCTTATTCACCAACGTTGCGTTTACTAACGTGGAAAGTATATGGATGGTTGTTTTACAATGACCCAAAACTCAATCAGTTAACAAAGAATAAACGAAAACATAAATTTATATTGCGATAGATTTGTAGAATTCAGTTTCGAACTGACCAGCATGCGAAATTCGTTTACCAATCATGGTGGTGTACAACTGATTTTTGGACATTCTCATTAGGATGACTTAGATGAATGTGTGTGTGTCCGACTTGATAATTACAGATCAGAAGGTTATACCTCTCACACTGATTGTGTGAATGTGTTATCTATCATCTGAGTTGGTGTTCATAATGTATTTGAATGATGGTTGCTCACGAAGTTCGAATTATTGACTGGAACTACTCAATGATCGGATATCGGAAGATTTATCAATTGGTTAACAAAGAGAGCCATTCAATATGTCGAATAAACACTCTTATGCTATTTGTATTCTAATATCTTCATAAATACTAAATTTTAATGATATTACACTTTGGTCGGACTGTCACTACATTCAAATTAAACTTTTATCTTTGAATGTTAAGTGTTTACATGTTTTGTTATGACATTAATTTCTACTTTTAGATCAGTGTAAATATTTTACTCCACAACTCAGTTTTGATAAAATCGGTCCATTATATTGTAATATGTTCTTATTTTAAATGTCACACGTCATGACTTTCCACGAAATTTTCAAATGTAGCATTTTATTCCTCTTGGTTATGACGGTGTATCTTCTATGTAATGTGGTTGTAATTTTCTTATCCCAGATGGTGACATGCTTTGGTGCGTAGTCTATACTTTATTATCAATATTGTTAACTATTACTTTGTTTCTTCGTTCGTAGTTCATGATGAATAATGAGGTCGGTAAAAGTAAACATCACAGAATATCATTTAAAAGTAAAACAAATGATTGTATGTATGTTTTATTGAGATAACACAATTGTATCTTATAGATGAACTACATGTTTTATCACCGTCTCGGTACAACACATTTAGTCATGCAATTTATGTTCGTCATAGGTATCCACGTGCTCGCTTACTCTGCATACGTCACGTATACATTGTCTAACTCCATCTTGGCAATTTCTATTACACGCATTGCTTCTACAGTTATTCTTACACTTTATTCCCGTTTCCCAACATTCTGCGCTGCACTTGACTCGGCCAGGTTTTGCTTCGCTGTAAAATTCACAGTATATCACCAACAGAAAGAAAATGAAGTAGAGCTGTAACAATAAAGTATATAATCGGTTTTAGAACTTTCATTTGTGGACAAAAAAAGCACTAAGAGTACTTTTCGGCACACATAATATTAAATTCACCTTACAAAATGTTATACGTACCTTCATAATGAACAGTTATTCTCCTTCATACAAATGTTTACAAACCAGTATCCTTTTATACTAAATTTAAGAGTTCCTTTTATTCATGGTAATTATACTGGTTATAGTATGAGAGGGAAAAAAATATTTGTTAGATCGTTTTCATCCGGTAATAATTATATTTGTAAATAAGGTCTGACGTTTTAAAGCATAATTTTTCAGGGATTTATTTTGTAATTATAATAATGTTTATTTATAGAAATTTCAACTTAAACCATTGTTAGTAATAGGGTTATTAACTTTGATTGGGAGTTTGGATAAAATGTATTCTTGCTGATTCAACTCACAAATAACTAGATCACATCCCAGCTACTTCTCAACTATGGCGATCGGAGTTAAGAATGCGTGACTGTATCAGAGGGTTCTAAAAGAGGAAGTTTAATACAAAAAAATACTACAAACTTAGGAGTGGTAATGATAAGAAATATAATCTTCAGTCAGACTGAAAACTACTTAGGATATAAAAGGAGAATAAACTGTATATAACAGAACCCGTTTCTTACTTTAGAACTAATCGATTTTTTTGTTTCAGAACGTTCGTAAACTTACCCAGCTTTCGTATTTGTTTACTTATAAAATTAGTGTATGTTGCAAGTGTAGATGATCAATATCAGGAAACATAATTCAATGAAGTTTTAATTTTGTAATACGTAAGTAAACTTTGTAGCCGGATGAAGACATACCCACTTATTCTTCAGCCTAGTATGTAATTATTATTGGAAATGTAAATTAATTTTACCACCCGAATATGAAACCAATGCCGTTATTTATTCTACGTAAATATTCTGGTTGTTGGTATGTTGAATTTTTTAAAGGAATTTTTCGTTGCTTCTTCAAATGAGTTTAAATTCGCAGTACTGAGATATATTTATACATACATAAAGTCAGTTGTTTTACAAATGATAAATTGCCTATTGTTATTTGATTGAACAATATGTCTCGGGTGGAAAAATTAATGACTGACCAACATTACGACTAAACTCACTAATATCTTATTTTTGCGCTTTGGTATTTAATTCATTGAAGTCATTAACTATTCTCAGTAAAGCACCTTCACACTTAAATTTCATACTGCTGATTCATATATACTGAAATATTGAGTTTCAGGTGGCTGAATAAAATATTGATGGTTATATAACACCCTATCCATTTCATAATAATATCTACACGTTGCAGTTGATTATTTAAAAGTTATTAGATAGGGATGAACTATGGAACCTAGTTACCCAACACGTTTATAATTTCATTAGTATGGATATATATAGCTTTTGGTTTTTGATACTACTAAATTGTCAAGGTACTGCCTGGTCTTCTGGTAATAGTGTTCAAAGCAATTCTTTTCCTTTACCAAATTGTTCAGGTGCAAGTAAATAAGCAATCAAAATATCAAGCAGCAAAATAGGTTATCGTTTCAGTAGCTGTAAAGAATATAAGTAAGAAATAGGCATTCCAAGCACAGGTGTCTTTGGCTAAATATATTTTTATTGATTTTACCAAAGTTATAATGAACTGTATCATCACTGAACCACACAGGTTTTAGAAAATAATCCCATAAAGACGTCCATATGAGTTATCGTTTTATTCTGTGTCTCTTCGTTGTACAATAATGGAGATTCACCAACTACGGTGTCATACACCATTTATAATGTGGATCATAATGATTAATTTGCCTCTAATTATATATATAAGGATTTCGTGTACTTAACTTCCTGGGCTTTCAATTTCAAGGTTCTGCTGAGCCCATAGAAGTACCAGGTTACACAAATAACTAAATAATGTCAAAGATAAATATTTATGAAATTTTGAAATGCTTTTTTAAAGAATATGGTCACTCTACATTCTGCGCCTATTTTGAGAAGTCATTTATTCAAAGGTTGTCGCAGAACTGTTAGGACCCGAGTTATACCCAGTAGATTAATTATTGCTTGATATGATGGAAAGAAAGGTCAATTTTTTCGATTGAATTACTCATTATGAGTTTTATTCAATATTACATCCGTTTTGACTCAACATGAGGATCATCCAGTGTAGTATTTGACTGTTTTTCCAGTATCATATTTTCTTCTGTATAATATACGATATTCTTGCATTCACTTGAGATGAACTATGCTTAGTAAGTGATTTGTTATAACTGAGTATGTGATCTAATCCTAATTATTAATCAAAATGCTTGTACAATCAATGTATAAACCAGTGTATTTTAGACTATTTTCGATTCGTCATTGTCTTAGTGTTTGGGGCTAATAAATCTTCACTTATACCAGTCCTGTGTTCTTACTTTCGCATCGCGGGAATCGCCGTGGTCCGTCGTTTCGAGTATAAGTGATCAGCGTTTTTGTTTTTCCGACACAACATGAACATTATCATTCCTATCCATCTGACAAGGTAGTAAGACCAGGAATAAGTTCAACTATCATAATATGATCATAAGTTAGACGCTTTAGATTTTTTCACATGAATAATAAAGATATTTTTCTCATAAATTCCCTATTTCAGTATTTGAAACACTGGAAAATATAGAAGTATAATTAAAGAATTGGAAGTAGAACAGTCTTAAGATTCAGCCTACATTTTTCAGATAACCAAAGTTTTCTGGTAAATCAGACAACTATTATGTACAGTTTAAACGTGGATAACGATGGACTCGTTTATCAATGTGAAACAGTTCTGAGTTAATAGAAGTAATCTAAAATTAATTATTGACGAATACGACTGTCAGAATTAAGCAGTTAATAGATTCATCTGATTACTGAATATTATTATTCTGCTATGGAAACTGTCTCATCCACTATTCACCAAAGTATACATCACGCATGTGAAACATTCCTATGGTTTCAGCTCAATTATATGACAATTAACACTTGACACAAAATGTTTGAATATTATGAGCCCTCATTCCACTTCAATCACATAAATTTTTTCATAGTTACCAGTTGTTTTAAGTAATATTTTTCGATTGTTACAACGGCTGACGTTCGATTAATTGAGATTATAAGGTGTGTTAAGTCTATCGAAGCTTCCAAATCACCCAAATGAGATACGCGCAAAATCGAAGTTCACAAAGCAACGATTTGTCTAAAATAGCGGTTCTTTATCGAATAATATACAAAAATTAGTTAAAAACATCAGCTTGTGAGATATCTGTGGCGTTTACCGGGTCTTTTTGTCTGAAGTAAAAGGGCTCCGATAGTGCAAAATGACAGCTGTTGGCTGTCTAAACTTGATAACGGTTTATCAACAAGCAAAAATTGAAATAAGAGCAAGCAATATGAAAACTGTTACGTTTGAACAAGGATTAAACTGCAGGGCCAGTGAAATGTCACCAAGCCCTAGCCAAATCGTCCGGCAGTTGGGTCAGTGAATATCGAGCAAATCATCGATCCTCGTCAAGGTCAGGGACAACCAACGCGCATCAGTTAGTCGTATGCCATGGAATGGCCCATGCGGCAGTGGTCTTACTTTCGCTTGTATCTACTTTAACCAATATATTTCTGTAATAACGTCCTCTGTGTTGTACAGTCCACGTAAGGTGCTGACCACGAGGTGTGACTTCGACGTTAGCTAGTTTGTCACACCATTCACGTCTAACTCGAGTAGGTGTCCAATCATTTCGACGTAGATCATCTACGTTGGTGATCTACAAAACGATTTCGAAAATTGTAAATAACTGCTACAGTGGTTGAGATGAATTAATTATAATGATAAAGATAATAAATGTTATAAGTATATGTAAATATTTCAGAATATTACACGACAAACTTGCGTTACAACATACGCGTAGAAACTGCCAGGAACACAACTATTTATTGAATATTTATAAGTAGTATAAAACAATACAAAAAAGAGTTGAAAGGAAGTGAATAAGGACAGAGAATGTAAAACAGACTTAACAAGGTGTTTTTGTTTGTGAGGGTTCTAAGTGTAGACATTTCTGTGTCAGTCGGAATTTACAACATAGAGCAGACTAGAAAATTTCAGCACTATAACTTACAGAAGAATCAGTGGTATTTTTTGTTTAACTTTAGACATTTTTCCAATCGGCTTTCACAACTTAATAAGTAATCTTGTTTTTCTGATTGATTAAGTAGCGATAGTCATCTACCTTTTAAAATCAAATGATTAAAAAATCCGAAATCGACTTAATTGTTTAGGTTAAAAAATTAGTGGCGTTATTAGCTTTCTATGTTTATTTGATCCAAGGAAAGCTAAAAATTGAAAAGGCAAATTTGACGAACACTTAATCTTATTGATAATTGTTAGTCAATGATATTTCTTAAGAAAGATTAGTTCAGCGAAGAGCTCTCTTTTCGGCAAAATCATTTTCAAAGCTGTACAGTAGCAAGTATATATACTTATTTTTACAGGATGATAATAATACTGATAATAAACTTCTGTTATACATGGTGACAGTGGGGTTAAATAAACAAAGGTACTAAAATAAATTTAAAAAAAGGAAAATTTAATAACCGTTTGATTGTTAATGGCTTAAGTATTCATCAAAGGATAGATAGGAAAATTATCAGTGGGAAAGGACAGCTCAGCATGATAAGTTAAATGTTGAAATTGAGATTAAATGTAATGAGGATGATCGTGGAAACAAAATGAACCAGTTGGGGCTAGAAAATTTATGGGGAAGATGGAGGGTGAAGCAGATGGCTGTAAAGGAAGGAGAGTATGAAGAAAGAGAAAAATAAAAAATAAGACATCAGGACCATGGTGGAAGAAGAGGTTGTAACAGTCGCTCCTGACAAATAGAATTTCGTCCAGTTCTTACGGTGGACAAAATATATCGATTGACATGACCAAGAGTCTAAATGACTTAATATTTTGGTGTAGTTTTATTTGATGTTAGCTGCTTAGAAGTAAACACTAGGGAGCTTTAGATCTAGGTTTCTAGCCAATTAACAGTGATCATATTTGCTACATTCTCTATGAACATGATATCTCTTATAGCGTTCGAATGCACGTCAGTTCGTGCTGCATTCAGAAAGGTTATTATTTATTCTTAC